CGCCCTGGACACTGCGAATGAAAGCCAGTCTGCCTGGCTTGGCTGTGCCCGGCGGAAAGGGGCAGGAGGATCGGAGCCACCCCCGCGCCCAGCCAGCCCTGCCCTTTGTTTTCGTTTATGGCTCTAATTGCGGGCCCGGGCCGCGCTCAGCCTGCCCTTCCTGCCGCCTTTCGGGGCGGGCTGACTTTGGCCTTGCCCAGATGCTGCACTAAATACATGAATAGTCTCGATCCGCTGCCGCAGGTCCCGGGAGCGCTGCGGTTCAGCCGGGCCCTCCTAGCCCGTGCCGCAGGCCGCGCCTCCCCCGCATCCTGCCCAGCACTGCCGCCCTGCGCCGGGACCGGAGCCCTGTGTCCGGGCGAGGAGTTTGTGCGGCTATCGAAACTGGAGCTTGGCAGCCCGGGTCTCCTCCCAGAGGCGGATGTAAATCTGCTCTTTCTTGTGTCCCAATCAACCCCCCAAATCCGAAGCGCCCCCCACTCCCTCGCCCCGGGAGGAGCCGGGGCCAGAGTCCAGCTCGCTCGATTTCATTTTTTTAAATGTTACATGGAACGAAATCGATTTTTTTTCCATCAGTTTTTTTCCCCGGAGCTTCAATGCCTAAAATGAAAAAGTGATTAGTAATCAGCACATTAACCTCCATCCCAAACGCGAATCAAATGGGGATTATAGGATGCGCTAGGTTTTAGATTTAACGAAAAAAAATCTCCCGGACTTTTAGCTCTGATTGAACATATCGATGGACTGTGATTTCCACGTAAATCTGCTTTAGCGCAATGGCTTTTCCTACCCGGGCAATCTTGGCTTACTTTTCCTTAACAATTAGAGTAATAATTGCAGGTGACAAAAGGCTGCGTTTTGCCCTGTGGGTTTTTTTCGGGCTGTGGGAGAGAGGGGGCTGGGGGGGGTTGTTTGTATTGTTTTTGCTGGGACGAAATAGATTTAAATGTGGTTCTTGGGGGCTTATTAACATGGATAAAAATGAGAAGAAACAGCACGAAGAAGCTGCCTTTCCGAACGAAACTAGGGTCTGGAGGGAGGAAGCGGCAGCTTCAGCCAAAATCTTATTTAAAAAAGAGGTAAAGCTGAACCTTGCTCGGGTCCAGCCATCAGATTTCACTCGTGTTTTGGCAGGAATAGGGGGACACTCGTTACAGCAGGTTTGGAGTATTGGTGCGGGTTATTTTGTAAATAAGCCAGTGGGTTTTTAATAGATGGCTCCAGAGGAGGGAAGGGGAGAATTGTCCACGGGATTTTCCGGTGTAACGAACGAGAGTTGGCCCATTTCGTTCAGTATCTCCCTCCTTCCCACATTGCCATGATCCCGCATTGCATGCGGGCAAAGACAGAGCGGAGAACCGCGCTGACCCACAGAAATCCCACAGGGAACAAACACAAGGGGAGAACTGTAGAAATGCCCCTTGGAAGATGAGCTGTGGGGAGCTGATGCTAACTGAAACATAACAATAATCATAAAAGCCCTTTCTTCTAGCACTGTGGTCATTAAAAATAGATGGGATCCGCTTGATGACATCCAGGGGGGGAATCCTGAAAGCTTCCTTGCAGCTCGCCCCACTGGCTGCGGCTCCCTTCCCCACCCTCCAGGAAAAATGGACTCGACATACTGTATTTTCCACCTTCTCCTCATTGTACTGCGCTTTAGGCAGCCATTTCACGTCTTCATTTTCTAATATCAAATCTTGGGAAGGATGGCTGGTGGAAAGCTTCTTTTTGAGGCTGGGGGGCTGCCTGTTGTTCCCTTCCTGCGACTCGTCAACGCCTTGAGATGTATGGGGGGCGAAAAACACGAACACAACATGTAGGACCTAAAATACCGTGCCAGAGGCTGTATACTGTATATAGGATTGCATATGGGATATATACCGATCAGCTGCAACCTCAGCTCTGAAGAGGCTGGTATGGCTCTGTGTGTAGGCACGGGCGAGCATACCAATATACATACATGTTGTGAACACACACACACACACGCCCCACAATGAAGAATTCCCTACATGCACCTAAGGTCTCAGCTGGAGCGCCTACCATTGCTGTGTGTGCGTGAGCATCGGTAGCTATGTACACAATTAAGCATGTAGCTTGCACAGATGTACACAGCACACTTTGTCTAGGTGCATTCGGATACGTGTGTGTATTTGTGTGCATCGACCCGAGAGCTGGCTCCACAAATCCATCGGCAGGCTGGGGCTCAATCTGTCTATCAGACAAACAAGTGGGAATGGATCCTTCTCTCCGTGCATCCCCTTCCCTACCCATTGGGCTGTGGGTGAGTGTGCATGTGCCAATAAGCACAAAATGCGACATATCTGCAGCCCCGCGAGCCAGGCAGATCCACTGCTCCAGTCAAACATAAACAGCTTTGCGCTGGGACCGCAATCTCAGGGCGATAAGCTCAGCAGGGCGGGTTTTTTTTTTCTTTTTTTTTCCCTCCTGCCAATTTGATAAGGCTGGAACCGCAACTCTGATTGTTCGAGATGGCTCTGGGTGCTTTTGTGATTCCTAAAAGAGCATAAATAATTAAAGTTTGGCAGGCAGGAAAAGCTTTCTTGCAGAACTGTAGCGGCAATAAATGAAATGACTCAGAATCTCTTCTCCAGTCAGTTTTTACGAGAGCTGCCAGACAGTGTCTGTTCACGTTCTCCAGATACTAGGGGCGCCATAACAAAGTTAAGGTCAAGTTAGTGTCTTATCTTGGGTGGCACAAAAATACCGCATCTTCTCCGGCCGGACTGGGGATATTTTTAAATACGAATGTTATGCGAGTCGTCTTAATTTTCACCGAGGGCTCTTGGAAATGTCACTGGGACTAGAATACTGGCTAATTCGAGGCATCGACTGCAGATGCTCCAAGACACCTAACGGTAAAGTATCGCCTGGATGGGTTCGTGGGAGGCATGTGCGTGGTGCTGCGGTGCGACCTGCGGAGCGGGAGCGGAGTCGGGCGCTCGGAGCCGGACGAGGAGCCTCCCCGGGGTGGAGGTGCCCTGGCAGCGACGGGCTCGCCCGCCTCTCTCCCCCCGGCGCGGGGCACTGGCGGCGCTGCCCGACCCGGGCTGCCTTTCCCCGGGTTTCTTTCGGAAAGGAGCCGTTTTCGGGATAGCAAACCGCCGCCATGTCTTTGAACTTGAATGGTTTGGAAGTGGCGGACGCCTCCGCCAACGCTGCAGAGCTGCTGGGGCTCGTGCGTCGAAAGGGAGGTGCAGGGCGCCGGCTTGAGCTGCCTGAGGGGGCTCAAGGGGGCAGAAAATGCAGCTGTCCAGGTGCCCCGGACCGCGGTCCCGCCGGAGCCCGGGGGCGACCCCGAGGGGCACCGCGGCAAGAGGGTTTGCAGGCGCAGGGGTAAGTGACACAGGAGCCATTTTAGCTGCGCAGCAGCCTTTTTAAAAGCTGCAGCACAAATCGGCCGGGCTGGGCAGCCCCAGGAGGAGGGGGACGGGCACGGGCACGGGCACGGGCACGGGCACGGGGACGGGCCCAGGTCCGGACGGGCGGCTGCGGCGCAGGGACCAGGCGGCTGGCGGCGGTGCTGGCGGCGGACAGGCGAGGCCTGGGGCAGCAGGCTTGTGTGCGGGGCTCGGGGCCGCCGGCCTGGCAGCGGGGGGATGCGGAGCTCGGGCTGAGTCTTGCACGGTCTGGGCAGATCCAGAGACTTGGGGGGCATGGGAGGTTGTTGTGGTGGGGGGCATGGAGGATCTGCATTCCCTGCCTCGACCTTCCTCCTGCCGCAGCTGGGCGCAGCCCGCAGGCGAGGCGCGTGTCAGTGCGGGTGCCGCAGTGCGGAGGCGGCGCGCAGCCGGGCCTGGCCGCTCCCCCGCGCAGTGCTGCGGCCCCCTGCCCCTTTGCAGTGCCCCCCGCCCTCGTGCGGGGTCCCC